GTACAAAGAATTGAACTCAGGACCTTGCACTTGCCGGGTCGGTGCAGCACCATTGAGCTATAGAAGATTCTTGAAACGTTTTGATTACTTTGTATTGTGACTCTTAGAGGGTTTTTTTAAAAAAACATTTAAATTTAGGGACCAAATTAGAAATAATCTCTCCTATATTTTATCTGCTTTCTTCTCAGTCTTTTTTTTTTATTTTTATATTTTGTTTTCAAAAATATTCTCTCATAAAAACCTTGTAAAAAAATGAAGCAATTTTTAATGTTGTAAAAATATTGAAAAATTCATGATTAAACTTTTAAAATATAGCAGACATTCCCCTGATTAATAAAAAGGCCCAATATCACTAAACAATATTTTTTAGTGATTTTTGTCTTTGTATAACAAAGTGGGATATAAAAGATAACTTCACCTGTATATAAGTAAATTTAGATATATAGCTTTCATCTGTGTAAAACTGATAGTTTACAGTTGTAGAAGAGACATATTTAATACTATTATAGAGAAGTTCTTAGATTTGTTAGAAAGTCACTTCTGGGAAAAACCTTTATTTTTAGACAGCTGAACTCATTAATAAGCAAGGGCCACATCTTTAACTGTCTCCTCAGCACAAAAAATGGTGTTAATTTGTAGATTTGGTAAATGTTTGTTTGATGAATTTTAAAATGTTCTAAAAATTTTATTTTCCTTCATTGCACGAGTGATATGTACAATTCATGACATGTAAAAACAACTCATGTGTTAGTAGAAAACAACTGTTCGCCTGCATTTGCAGCATAGAGTGCGTGTAAGCCATCACAGATGCTGTCTTCAGAAGCAGCACAACGTTATCTTTCACATTAGAGCAAAAATAACAAGATGGCGCCCTGACTTCCAAAGTCTAGGGAGTACTAGATAGCACCCCTGAATGCTATTTGTCCACTTCAATTTTTCTTTGTTAAGAACAACCCTCTAGGACTGGGGATATAGCCCAGCAGCACAGCACCTGCCTGGTGAGGTTAAGGTCCTGACTTCAATCGGTGGTACCAAAAAAAAACCAAAACTGCTAAGTTGTTTTACAATGTGTTTTCATTAAGTGGAAGGTCTTAAACTTGTCACAAATAATTAAAACTCATTAGATTGCTGATAATTGAGCTTTGTAAGTCCCCCTCCATGAACATCCTTGTGGTATCTACTACATGAATTAAATGAGTGGCACCTTGTGATGTGATCTGTTTACCAAAACATCCACATCTGGCCTTAGTCTAGAGCAGAAATGAAAACATATTTTATTTTTTTGGTACTGGAGTTTGAACTCGGGACCTTGCACTTACGAGGCAGGCAGCGGAACCACTGAGCTAAATCCCTGGCCCGAGAACATATTTTAAATAGAAATTATAGAAGTCATGAAAAATTTGATGAATTTAAATACTTTCTCTTTCCAATTTAGATTGTCTTCAGATTTACAGCACCATTTCAGCTTGTCCTCTGTTTATTCACATTACTTACCTGACACTGGAATTCCAGAAGTGACCACCTGTCATTCCCGAAGTGCCATAACTGTGGATTATATTTTCTACTCTGCAGAAAAGGAAGGCGTTGCCGAGCACCCAGGTAAAGACTGTATAATCATTCTGCTAGAGAGCACAGGAGCTCAGATTCCAAGGCTGATGTTGAAAAAGTTAGCTAAAAGTTAGCTTCATTTAGATGAAGTTCTAAGTGTACAAGTTAAAAATGTTCTTAAGACGCTGGGCTTGGTGGCACACGCCTGTCATCCCAGCACTGGGGAGGCTGAGGCTGAGGCAGAGGATCGCTGTGAGTTCAAGACCAGCCTGGGCTACACAGTGAGTTCCAGGTCAGTCTCAACTACATAGTGAGACCTGTCTCAAAAAAACAAAAACAAAAATGTTCTTGAATAGACGGGTTGGTGGTGTACTTGAAGAAATGAGATCATTACCTGCATCTGATCAGGAAGGCAATAAAACATCCCCAAGGCAAGTTTCTACCTGAGAATACATCCTTTGTTCTTTCCTCAGTTCCCGGTAGCTTCTGAATTACAGGTCATTTGTATTGCCCTTTATTTTTACTTGCCATAAATGTACTCTTTGTTTCGTGACAGAAACTGAATCTCTTAATGGTCAGCATACATTTTTATGGTGCAGCTTACCAGGACTGCTGCTTCGTGGTAGGGCCATGCTTATGCTGCCAACAGACCACTGAGTCTCGCTGACCTTGGAATGTTGGTTTTTATGAAGAGGAAGAAAAGTGTAGTATTGCTGTGTGTTGGCAAAAAGCGAAGGTGAAAACACTTTTCCTTGTATGACTCAACGAAAATCACATTGTATGCATTAACCAAAGGATTTAAAGTGGGGAAGAAAAAATAATCAGAAATATAAAAATACTGCTCAGTCGGGAATTTAACTCAGTGGTGCTGCTCCTGCTTCACAAGCGCAAGGTCCTGAGTTCGATCCAGTACCAAATTACTCAGAAAACTTGCAAGTCCTAAATTTGGGCAGCTTGTTTTCCTGTTTGACTTTCTTTCTCTTCCATTTTTTTGTGCTAGTTTTTTTCCCCTTTTCTGGTTCAACCTTTCCCTTCCTATTGGAGATTATTAGTAACACTCAGGTGAGGACTTAACTTCTTCTAATTCAACTCTATAAAATACATGCTTGGGCCTCTTTGCTTGTTTTTTATCTTTGAATTTGTAGTGAGGTTTCAGAAGGTGTCATGTCTACAGAAGTCCACTAGGTGGCAGGAGAGTCATGGATCAGTGGCACAAGTCTCAGCATTGCAAGCCTGTCACTTTTTATTCTGCTCCCCGGCAGCTCTGAGACCAAATTATACTAACATATCTCCACGCACCTTCTAAACCACTCATCTGACTGTAATTGGGTCTTTTTGGTCTCACACAATGACAGAATGGCTGGTGGATGAATTAGGTAGTTGTTAATCTCAAACTATTAATTTTTTTTTTGGAGACAGTCTTGCTGTGTAATTTAGGCTGGCCTCAAACTTGTGGTGATCCTCATACCTCAGCCTCCTGAGTGCTGGAATTGCAAGCATGTGCCACCACACCTGGCACAAACTATTAAAAATTTTATGTGTTCCATTAATATTTTCTTCTAAAGATTATTGGCAGATTAACATTTATTATAAAGATTGCATCTGAAACTGCTATGTGAGAATTATAATTAGGTTGTGGCTCAACAAAACTAGTATTTTTAAAACTTTCATATTCATTTTCTGGAAAGGGTCTCAAGTTCTATTTCACTGTTTAGAAAAAAGATTTGTATAATTAATTTGCAATAACCTCTCAACAGTTTCCCTAAATCTGTGTGTGCTTCTTTAATGTAGGAGCTGAAGTTGCTTTGGCTGGAGGCTTGAAACTTCTAGCTAGACTGTCGCTTCTTACAGAGCAAGACTTGTGGACGGTTAACGGACTTCCAAATGAAAACAGCTCTTCAGACCATCTGCCTTTACTGGCTAAGTTTAGACTTGAGCTCTGACTCTTCTTGGATTATGTACATAATTTTCTTCCATCTTACGTTCTTTTTGAACACATATAAGTTGTTGAGTGCGTTATTTTTGTGCTGTGGAGTAACAGATACCAGAAGAAACAAGTTTACAATAATTTTCTTTTTTAATAATGATATTTTCCTGACAATTAAGATCTAAATACTCTTTATTGTAAAAGAGATATAAATATTTTTATTCTAATTCTAGTAAAATTGACAGTGGTTTTTAAATGTAGCATATCTTCTTTAGTCTGCTTAGTGAAGAATTTCACTTCATGTTTTTGGCAAGCTTTACAGTAGATCCAGACTACTTACATAGGTTTTTAAAAACCACAAGTTGGTTCCTTTCCACGAGGCCTGGTTTCTTTGGGAAAGCCCTGTGTTTTTGAGTCCTAATTAGTTCACCTAAGAAATCAGTGTGTCTTTCACCGGTGTCCAACAATTTTAGTTTATGAAGGAGCTTGATAATGCTTTTTTTTTGGTACCAGGGATCAAACTCAGGTCCCTGTGCTTGCAAAACAGGCAGTGGAACCACCGGGCTAAATCCCTGGCCCTTGATAATGCTTTTTAAAAAATTATTCAGAATACTTCCTCCATCGTATCACTGGTCTGAACCGTGGAACATGATGTAGTGTGTTGAGAAAACATTTGGGAAATGTGGCTGCTCTGTCTAGTAAGGATAAATCCTTCACATAAGCCCACTGTCTTTGGTTGGCCTCAAAGAAGCAGAGACTCTGGGATGTGCCTGTTTCTCTAATATCTATTTTTTCTCTTTTTTTCAATTAGTCACAATAGTAGATCCCTGAGTTAGGGGAGACATTTGTTTTACTGAAGTGATTCTATAGAAATTTATTTTCTTACGAAAACTGTCGTTGGAACAAAGTGGCAGCTATGTGATTATTTTTGGTATGCCTCAGGGACAGGAGGAAGTTGTGACACTACAGGGAGGCACTGAACCTACAGTCCTCATACTCTTACAGCGGTCATGTCAGCTGTTCGGGACCCTTTGTTTCTCAGATGGTCTCAGTGACACAGCAGTGCAAGGTGCTGCTAATGGGTTTATAAAGCCTGTAGTTGATTCTAGGTAAGTGTCTGAATAAAAATGTTTGAAACAAAATAAGTGCAAATGTCTTCCTTTTTTTAGACAGGAGACTCAAAAGAATTAGGCATTTTTACTAGGTAGTCATTTTGCCCTGAATTACAAACATTTTTATAGTGAATTTTATTAACAGAATGTTCTATCTTAAATTGAAGATGATAAGTCTTGGACTTTAAAATTTTTGTACAAAATTTCTTACTACAATTATTTTTTAAAAATCAGATGAATGCCCAAAAGAAGGCATGCAGGTTACAAAGATTCATCTAGTAAGAATTACAATAAGCAAGTACTTTTAAATGTTTGATTTCTTACTTTTTTTGGTTTTATTTACAGTATTAAATATAGATAGTTCCCAGATTCTCGTTTGCAGAACATCATGTCCTGGCTAGAGATGGAGTCATCGTCAATTTGTAATGTTAGTTTAATATCCCTTTTTAGTACTGTGAAAAAATGAAAATTCATTGATTACCTCTTTGAATTGAGTGAATTTATTAGCAAATAAATATTGTATGTAAGTCATTGTTAGCAAACTAATATCCCTGAAAACCTGAGAAAATTTATTTTTTTATACCTAATAAACATTGTGAATTCAGGCCCATTTCCTGTGCTTCACTTTGGTAAGAATTAATCCATAAAACCGCTTTCTACTTTAGCTTATCAAGTGGAATGTTACTGTGGACCAGAATCCAACAGACTAGTGTAACCGTCTCAAATTTCTAAGATTCCACAGAAAGTGATTATTTAAATTACCTATTTATCTTGACCAGGAGAGTTGGTAACTACTGGAGCCTCATATTTACCTGCCAAAACCAAATCTGATTAATTGCAGAAACCAAATCTCTTACAGTCTTATGTTTTATAATCCAAGCTTTAAATGCAAAGAGAAATTGTAAAAACATTTTGGTTTTACTATCTATGCCTTTGGATATCAAGATAATATGAATGTCTGAAATCCTTTTTTTTTGGAACTTGGTTACTATCTGCTTTTCACCTTTTTTTGGTTTTCTAGAAAAAAAACCCCAGGGAATTCAAGGGCTTCAGGAAACAGGAGCATCAAGTCACTTGCACTTTGTACTTGTAAATTATGTAATAAATTATTGTACTCAGACATATGAGCCTGCAAGTTCTGTGGTGGGGTAGTAAACTATATGCTGGCCTTGTGCTCTTCTGAAAACCATTTCATTACCTTTTTCAGCCTGTATTACATAAGGTAATGGTAAAAGACAGGTTCATTAAGATGCCAAAATAATGTTTAATACAGAGTCTGGAGACTGAAAGAGAAAGGGTGAGGATGATAAATTAATGCATTAGAACAAGTAAGAAATAAGAGGATAAGAAGTATCACACCATCTTACATTATCAGAAAGAAAAAAAAAAGCAATCCTTAAGTTGCCAAGATGATTTTATTAAAGTCCCATGCTATGTACAAACATACAAGAGATGAGAAAAACAAACTCAAAACATGCACTTATCTGGCATTCTCTAAAATACCATTATACAAGTTTTCATTTACTTAGAAAAATACCCACTAGAACAATCACAGTTTTTCTTAAAGATTTTAAAAAAATGTATTGGCCAGAACAAAGTCCAAGAGAATAAACAAGATTCTGAATTGTATGTCAAAAAAACTGTACAAGGTTGTACATAAAACTATAGCTTACAAAAGCTTTGGGTATAGTAAGAATACTGAATTAAGATTTCCAGAGTTCTATTTACCAATATCCATTAATAAAATCCTTATGAAATAATTGACTTAGAAAAAGTGAAATGTTCATGATTTCTGTATATATAGAAAATACTAAATATCACTTTCTGAAATAAAGTATACTCAAAACAGCACAATTAGTCTCAATATCAAGATTTCTGTCATTCATTTAAACTTTGCGTACATTGCCAGTGATGGCTTAACCATAAAATTTCTCTTACATAATTACTTTGAAGAACTAGATTCAAATGAATTCATAGTTTTTTTTTTGTTTTGTTTTGTTTTTTTCTCTTTGAATTGCAGCCAGTCTTAAAATCAGTTTGGGGAAGTAAAATATGTTGGTTTTCTTATTTAGTTGGGTCTTTTTAAAAATTAAGTTAATTGGTACATTTTAGGTATACACTATAATGACATTTCATCATTGGGAATTACTACCTTTACACGACATATCTTGGTTAGCTGGGTCATTTTTGAGTTGTTGCTTTTTAAAAAAATCCTATAATACTTGAATTACTGTATTAAAATTTAGGAGTTTGGTGACTTTCATATATTTGGTAGAAATTAGTATTCTATAGGCAATAGAAATAGAGTAACAACTAAGAACATTTTAAATGAATTCTCATGTTTCTGTGACTCACCCTTGCTTTGGGAATATCTGAAAATCAAGGCATGTTGAAGAAATTAGGTTACTAATTAAATCATTAGGCCATTTGGCAATTTTAAGGCTTATATATCAGCATATCAGCAATAGTTTTATATTCCTATCCTTTTTTCTTACAGGAAACAGGAAGCCATGCAAATAGTTGACCTGTGTCTTTGATGGTTTGGTCCTTAAGTAATGCTTGGCAAATTCTATTCCATGTTCTTAGAATGGTTGCAGTGTTTTAAATAGTCTACTTACTGATACAATAAAATTGCAGGTGGAGTTTTTTAAAAAGGTACATGGGTAAGTCAGTATTTTCTAAGAATGAGAAAGAAATGATTCACTGCTCTTTTGAAATATTAAATACTTGTGGCTGTGAGACAACAAATCTACCTGGTATACTGTGTGTAGATGAAAGTGACTTTTGGTGCTGGGGATGGAACCTAGGACCTTCTGTATGCTAAGCGCAAGCTCTGCCACTGAGCTACATCTCTAATTCTAATAATTTTAAACTAACTGATAGTACTATTTTTTTGTTTTTTGAGACAGGGTCTCACTATGTAGTTAAGGCTGGCCTTGAATTCATTATGGAGCCCAGGCTGACCTCGAACTCATGAAGATCCTTCTGCATCAGCCTTTCAAGTGCTGTAATTACAGGTGTGCTCCACCATGCCTATTTTTTTGGTACTGGGGATCAAACTCGGGACCTTGCATTTGTGAGGCAGGTGGTAGAACCACTGAGCTAAATCGCTGGCCCAACTAATACTACTGAAGTAAGTGATTAAGTTCAGAATTTTTTACCTTAAGCTACATTTTAGTCTAGGTGAGATGTATGGCTTCCTTTTTTAGGAAAATAGTATTTTCATTAATAATGCTGAATTTTACAGTAAAGTGAGCTCTTGTGCACACAGCTAAAGGATGAAGTTCTTTTGCTTCCTCATTACCTCCAGATTGTCAAAGAGCAGGTTCTTTTTTATTACTTTCCTATAACCATCTTCAGCTAAAGAAATCCAGAGGAGTAACAGACTGAAACAACAGTTATGTTCACTAGCAGACTTCATTTAAGTCTGTGCTTTGGTCTCATGAGTTGGCATGATTGCTGAGATTAAAAACTAATTAAACAAGCTCTACTCTAGCTGTTTGGAATACACAGACTGCGTGTCCTTCGGGTTATCCTGTATACAGCCAGAAGCTGTACCGTAACCAAGACATGCAGGCTCTGTGGACAGGGCACACTCAAAGGTAGAGCACTGTACCAGAGACTTCATTAAAAAAACTGTTTCTCTAACATATTTTTCCAGTACTTCCTAAATGTCGTGTGGTACCTAAAAGGAATGAATTGGAAAAAATAATCACATATGGCCTTAATATAAGACATAAGAACACACGTGTAATGACAGTGAGTCCTTCAGAATCAGAGCCTGACTCGAGGTTAAAATCACATCAAGTGTGAACAGAAAGGTTACCTGGCTTTCAAGACCCATGCCTGGTTCGCTCCTGGCCTCTGCCTTTCTGAGTCTTTATGTCCCAGTAATCATAACACTGCAGAGCCTGCATAACAAGTGCATGACCTCTTGTGCTTCTTGCTGGACTCTGCAAAGTTTAAATGTTGGTGACAGAACACAGACTAGCCTCCAAATGTGCTTGTTTTGTAAGAACAGAAATTGCCAGCAGTGAATGCTTTAAAAAAGAGTAAGAAGTAACTCCAAGATCCTAAAAATGGTTTCCCGTATTGCCAAAAGAATTTTAGTGTTTTGTAAAACACTTGCATATAATACCTTAAATCTCATCACGTGTGTGCACCAGGAAAATACTCCAAACTTGTGGAAATCCCCATGGGAAACAGTAGGGAAACAATACAAATAGAATATAAAAAACCAAAACACCATCAAGTTTGCATATCTGATGTAAAAATGCTGAGGTAATATTAACTGCTTAAGAAAAACCCACCCATCTTTGTTATTGCTGAAAAGGACTAATACTGACAGTGATCTTACTATACCAAAAGTGGGAGAGAGGACTTCATGATATTTGCTACTGGAGAGGCATAATGTTCAATGCAAGTAAAAGTAAACGAAAAACTATAAAACTACAGTTAATGTCTGTTACCCTTGAGATTTTGAGTGAGAGAGTCCAACCTCAGTGGGGTTTATTCTTCAGCCTTTCATGGTTGCCTGTTCGAGAATTTTAAAGCTAATTGTTCTTCCCCACTCAAATTCTATTTCCAGGTGAATCCTCAGAAATAAATTTCACAGGTTCCTAATAAATAGTTGCAGTTCCTCCTGAAGATGCTGGGTAAAGTGCAGAGTGAAGCACCACAAAACCCTCATGCTGGCCGCCGCGACTAGATTCGGATCTGATAACCCACTTCGTTCAGGGTGCTGAGATCTGCCTTCTTCTCAGGCAGGGCAGGCCTAGGAGAGACCGGAAGCCGGCAGGGGAGAGGACGGGTCAGAGAAAGGCAGTGAGCACTTGCAGGGGCCACTGTAAGGTAGTGTCATCTGTCAGATGTCATTTGACATCTGTCATTCCACCCCCCGCCCGCTTTGCTCCCAGCTCTGCTTGGCCGTAAGTCTACCTTGGTGCTCCCTGACAGGCCGTCAGTGCAGACAGCAAAACTTTCCGGCTTTCTCAACT